CACCCACAAGGGAGAAGTGGACCAAAGCCAATTCCACCTTCCATCTCCTACACATCCAGCTAGTGACTCAGCATGCAAGAGTCTGACTCATGCCAGCTCCTCTGCATACTGTCAGCTGCCACTTTTCATGGGCATTCTGATTACATGGGGTCCCCAGAATTTCTCTGCTAACTCTGGGCAAGTGGGATGCACGTGGGAGCATGTGTACTTCTTGTGGCAGAGGCAATTCCTGGGGCCCACACCCAAATATCCCAACTCCACTGGTCTAAGGTAGGGTCGAGGAATCTGCATTTCTACAGGTGCCCTCAGACAGCACTACCATAAAACATAACACCCATGGGATCATCCACACACCCACTCCAACGACGTGACTCCCATGAACATCTTATGGCAGATCAGTGCTGCCCGGCATTGGACTTGGAGTCATAAAAGACTCCAGAAGGGCCTGTTCTCAGTAGCCATGAGCAGCTTTCAGCCTCTGCTGGGCAAGTAACTGACCTGACCCTCATTAGCCACCGGTAACTTACAATAGCGCATAAAATGCTCTGAACATCCTCCACTTTCATGGTTGTGAAGCACTCCAAGAACATGTTTGTATGTATGCTCATCATTAGCATAGGGGTCCCCAGAAAATGTCAACATTTGGGTCAATGAACATTGATAATTGCACATGATACCCAAATTTCACTTCATTAGCTAACCTGGTACAAAGCAAGTCAGTCACAACAAATTAATGAGTGAGTCTAATTAAAAGGCTTGCTTACCAACATCCCCACAGTGTGCATGGCTCAGACTGCGTTTCCCACATGTGCAGGCTGCCACCCAGCCCTCCAGGGTCACCTGGTGGGGAGACCTTCCATTTACTACCTGTCTTTCCAATTCCCCAGGGTTGGTCCTAATTGTAGAAGAGCTCTTGATTCCCCCCATCTCATGACATGACATTTTTAACTTTACAAGTGTTAGAACTATAAAACATGAGGCAGAATATAATTGATGCATCCTGACACGTTATTGTTATCCAGTGAAGATTTCAAGAAAAATCTCTCCCAAATCTTAGCCTTGAAGGGATCAGCAAGAATCATCTAGATCCTCTCTTCCACCCTTATTATATTTAGGCAGGACAAGAGACCCCATTCCCAAGACCAAGTGGACAGTGTATTTGCCCTTGGTGCTGACAGTCCTCATCCTCCATGCTTCCGGCTCCTTTTATTTTAACTTCCTCCAGAAAGTACCATGGATGACTCACTCCTGTGCATCCACATCACTTTAGAAGACCTTGGCCCAGGTTTCTTCTGTTGGCTTAGGGCAGTTTGGTTTGGTTTTGGTTTGGTGTGGTCTGGTTCTGGTTGGGTTGGGTTGGGTTGGGTTGAGTTGGCTTTAGTTTGCATCCAGGAAGAAAAGTGAGAGGATTGGGTCAGTCTTTGAAGTCTCTCTACCCTCTGTTTTCCTTCCTACTTTGGCCTTAGTCTTTTGAAATTAAATATTATAAAAATTAACTAAGAGTCTACACCCGAAGAAGGAGGAGGTGGGAGGAGGAGGAGGAGGTGGGGGAGGAGGAGGAGAAAGAGATGGGAGGAGGAGAAAGAGATGGGAGGAGGAGGAGGAGGTGGGGGAGGAGGAGGAGAAGGAGA